CAAACTTCAAGATATACCAACATAAGGGAAATACTGGGAGTCTCTCTCTCTCTCTCTCTCTCTCTCTCTCTCCCCACTAAATAAAAAAAAAAGGGGGGGGGGGGGGGAAATGAGAGATATAGGAATATAAGATATATATATATATTTTTTTTTTTTTGAGGTCCCCCCCCCCCCCCCCAATCACAGGGGCGTCTCTCTTAAAGAATAATGACCATGTTGTAGCCTTTTGTTGGCAAGTGCCGAGCCTTCCTAACCACTCTCCACACACTTTGCACAGTGCCTGGATCCACTCTCAGTTTATCCAGTGAATGGGTGGATTATTTGGGACGATCCTTTGGAATCAGTTCTACTGTGCGAAGACAGTGATGACTGTGGCCGTCTGAGTTGAGTGAGAGCTGGCTTTCTCTTTTCCTTGCAATCACTCCTCATTGCGGTGAGCCTGCTGCAGCAGCTCCCCTCTCCTCTTACCCTAGTATGCTGTCTCCAGGAGCTCGTGAGAAGTTGGTGTAATGTAAGAATAAAATAAAAGTGAGGGTCCAGTGGGTTCCCCTTGAGTGCACTGTGTCCTCTTCAGGGCGCGGGCACCTCCCAGCCTTTGCCCTGGTTCTTGGCTGCGCTCCGTGTAGGGGAAGTTGCGAGGAGGCTGAGTTCTGGACACATGGCTGCTCCTTTACTAGTCCCCATGATGCCAGGCAGCTATAATCTCATTGCCATAAACCTTCCTGAGCTCATGAACAAAGTCACTTAGTGCTGGCTTCAGGAGAAAAGAGGTGATTAAAAGATACTGGCTAGCACGTGAAACGAGCCAGAGAGGAAAGGACAAATATTGTACGATTCCATTACACCGGAGGACTTTGGATGGGCAGATACATAGAGATAGGGAGTGGAGGAGAAGTTACCAGGGTTAGGGGAGTGGGCAATGAGGGGTTAATGGGTCCAAAGTTTCAGTTTGAGATGAAGAAGAGGCTCTAGAAATGGGTAGTTGTGACAGTTGCAAACATTGTGAATGTACTTAATGCCACTGAATTGTGTGTGTAAAAATGATTAAAATGATATACTCTATGTTATGTATATTTTACCACAATAAAAAGTATTCATAAACTTCCAAGCGAGTTCCTCTGAATCCAGCACCTCCCTAAAACATCCTAAAGTACACATTAGTCCTCTTTTCACCCACCCACACTGGGGCCTCAAGTTAATAAGGGCAATGCTGAATCTGTGCATGTACCAGTGTGAGTCTCCTAACGTTCCTGTCCCCTGTCTTGGCAAACAATCATTCTCATAATAGTCACTGGAGTCAGGACATACCGCTTAGTAGCATAGCATCCACATGTTTCAACGGTATTTAGTCCTTGTCTTTTCTTTCGAATGATCACCCCCAAAATAAGAAAGATGCTACGCCAGTTTCCTTCAAATCACTATATGGTAATACCTTCTTTATTAGCTGAGTAAGAGCGAGACAGAACAATTTAGTTAGGACTTATGCCAAGGAGAGACTATTAATAATTCAGCCACCAGCTTGGGGTGAAGTGACTTCTGTCTTTCGAGAATTTGCTCTCAAGCAGAAAAACTTTTCCCCCAAAGGCACTGCTTTCTCCCAGAGGGTCAAGAATGTTAAATACTTATAGTGAATTGCTTAGCATTTGTGTTTAATTTCCTTGCTCTATAGGTCACTGAATGTGTAGCATTTACTTTGTTCTAAGGTGTTTTGATTTTAGGGCTGATCTGTGTTGGTGTGTGATCAGTCCACAAAGTTTGTCTGTTGATATACTGTAGTTGTAAGGTCCTGACTTAGAAAACTAGGAGGCTAGCCCAGCCGGAGTGGCTCGGGTGGTTGGAGCGTCATCCTGTGCCCTGAAAGGTTGCTGGTTCGATTCCTGTCAGGGCACAGAGCTGGGTTGTGGCTTGGATCCCCGGTCCAGGCCCATACAGAAGGCAACCGATTTATCTCTCTCTCTTTTTCTCTCCATATCCTCGGGTCAGGATTAAAAACAACAACAACAAAAACCTAGGAAGTTAAAATCTAAACAACATAGTTGTGTCTAGAGCTGCCTTTTCAGACTATATTTTGCAGCCCATTTTAGAGTCCTAAAATACTTTTAATAGGTTGTAATCAGCATTAAAAACAACAACAAAAAGAATAGAACAAAACTAAGAGTTTGAAAAAAAAAGAGTTTGCTGTATGTTTTCAGTTGTACTAGTACATGATCTGTGTACATGTGTGTGTTGCATGTACTGGGTCTGAATGTAAAATGTATTTCTCATGGTAGTCTACAGTTAAAGGAAACCAATGATTTGGACTAGCGAATTGGGGGTGGAGACAGGTAAAGAGCAATGGTTGAGTTGGAACTTTGATATGTTACGTGTCTTACTGGGATGTTAGCTTTCATTTCCAAGTGACTAGAGGGAGTCCCTTAAAAGACTTTTCTAGTAAACAAGAATTCCCTGAATGAAGAAGCATTTTGTATGAAACCCATCTCTTTTTATAGCACATTTGTTATAAGTTCCTAAATATTACTTGGAGAAAGAAGTGGATCATGTGACAGTTTAGGTAGTAGACGCTGTCATCTGTGGTCTACATCTCCAGTCTTTGAAACTATCACTTTCGTCAATTCACTAAAAGAATAAAAACACAGAACTCACGTTTAAGAGTCCTTTTACATTTCAGAGTTGTGGTTCAAGCACTTTTGATTCCAGGGAAGGTACAGAATCACAGAACTTTTGACCTGGGAGTAATCTTAGAGATAGAGTTCATTTTCTTTTGAACTTTATAACTAAAGTCCCTGAGGCCAAAACGGGTGCAAGTCACCTCTGAGTTCAGTGGGGGAGGGTGGGGGGAGAAGGAGGATAGAAGAGTCCTGCAGACTGGAGCAGACGAAAGAGATACAGCAAGAAGAATGGAGCCAGAAGCCTTTGACTTTTTCTCAATCACTGCAGTAAAAAACACATCTGTTCAACACCCTTGCCCCCTGCCCCCCCGCCCCCCCCCCAGCTCCCTTTCGCTTTCTTGTGCCTCATCCCTAGAAGGAGGAAGTATAATCGGCTGCTCCCTTCTCTCTGCTGCCACAGCACGCGCTGTGCTGTCTCCTGGTAGAAGCTCACGCTGCCCTGCAGAGCCGGGCAGGCCCCCAGAGGGTGAGGAGACCCTGGTTCAGCGGCAGTATGAGCCAACTGGATGACAAAGGCGGTTGGAACCAGTTTTTAAAACAATGATAAGCAACACCAGTGACATAGGGCGGGGGAATAAATGTACGGAAAGAGAAAATTCATTCAGGTAACTGGAATGCAGTGAGCTAAAGGATAATGGTGTTCAACTTCGAGGGGACAAATGATGACAACTCAACTGGGTAACCTGCTGGACAGGGAGGTAGGTGTTGCCACTATTGACTATTTTTCCTAGCGAGTGGTTTTTGTTTGTTTTTTAAATGGTCTCTGTTGCAGCTACACCCAAGCGTTTCCACAGCTGGTTAGCATGAGCACCCTGCTGGCTGGTGCAGGAGACAGGGCAGCAGGAACATGACAGACTGAGGAGCGGCTTGTTCCTCTTGCTCTCAAGCCCACATCATTCTTCTCTTAAAAAATGCCTCTGGAAACACTAGAAGGAAAGGTCAAATTCTGCAAATAATCAGTTAGTGGTAGCCTTTCCACAAAAATAAGTGGTAGAGGAGAAAAGAGGGACTATTTTAAGTGTAGCTGAAGTGTTTTTCTCCATCTCTGCTGCAAATGCTAACGAAATTATTCCCTGACTTGTGAAGGCCATAGGAGCCTTCGGGGGGTGGTGGTGGTGGGGGGGTGAATGTGCGAAGAATAGTCTCTGGTTCTGGGGATGCTCAGGTGACTCCAAGCACGCTTGCCACACAGCCTCACCGAGCATCTGCTGGGTGGAGGAGAGGCAGTGCTGCTGAGGGAAGGCCCAGGAAGAGAGCCCGGCAGCTGACTCATATTATAGTGGGGGTGGAGGACAGGAACACCAGTGACAAAGCTGTGAACAATTTGTATAGAAGTGAGGGAGGGAGGAGATGCCCAGTGGGAGTTTGGCTGGGACCCAGGGTTAAAAGCTGGGCAAAGGTTTTGTTTTTTGTTTTTTGTTTTTTTTAATCCTCACCTGATGATATTTTCCCATTGATTTTTAGAGAGAGTGGAAGGGAGGGGCCGAGACAGAGAGAGAGAAACATCAATGTGAGAGAGACACATGGATTGGTTGCCTCCGGCACGATCGAGCCCCAATTGAGCCTGCAACCGAGGTACATGCCCGTGACCAGCATTGAACCCGGAACCCTTCAGTCCATGGGCTGATGCTCTATTCACTGAGCCAAACCCACTAGGGCCATGGTCGGCAAACTCTCAACAGAGCCAAATATCAACAGTACTACGATTGAAATTTCTTTTGAGAGCCAAATTTTTTAAACTTAAACTATATAGGTAGGTACATTGTTATAAACTTAGTTAGGGTACTCCTAAAGCTTAGGAAGAGCCACACTCAAGGGGCCAAAGAGCCGCATGTGGTTCGCGAGTTGTAGTTTGCCGACCAAGGCCTAGGGCAAAGCTGGGCGCAGGTGAGGTTCAGGTCCCAGAATGCTGAAGCATGAGTTCACAGGCATCGGGATGCACTTGTGAGTGCTAACATTCTCCTGCAGAGGGCGCTTCAGTTCTGGTGCTGCCCAGTCCCTGTGCCATACGTGGGTTACTATGCTCACTGCCTTCCCACTCACCTAGGATGCCACCAGAAGAGCAAATGATGAGTTTCCTGAGCTAGACAGACACCCCAGGAGTTGGAAGGATGAGCCCGTCAGTAGTCTTTAGTATCCCAAGCAGAGCATCTCTCCTACCAGTGCATCATTCCCAGGAACAGGAGTGACAGGTAGACTGGTCTGGCCTGGTGCCTGGTGAGACCTAGGGAGGGGGTGGGCGTCACCATGCAGTGGCTGCCACATTTCCATGACTGTACTTTCAAACCCTGAAGTGATGTGTCACTGAGTTTAAAAAGAACACAGGCTGGACCTCAGGAAAACTGTGCGATCTCAGGTAAAGCCCTTCACTTCTCCAGGCCTCAGATTCCTCTTCTGTTAAATAAGGAAAGTGGACTAGATGATTTCTGACGTCCTTCCAGATCTAATGTCTGTAAACTACACAGCGATAGAGAACGAGGAGCAGGCAATAGCTGTAATTGGAAAGAACCAAGACCTCTAGGGCTCATAAGCGAAGACAGGACCAAAGAGCAACGCTGACATCTCATTCTGAGGAACTAAGAGATGAAAGTGTTGGAGAGGATTTGAGCTGCCACAGTAAACCCCCCAAAGACAACACAAAGCCAGCACACCCTGGGAGGGACCTGACTCGGAGAGAACTGGATTAAGTGTCTAGCCCAAGGTTCTGTTAGGATGGGTTTGGGGTAGAGGACAATAATCTGTGACTATGCTATTCTCTAAATATTGCTTCAAATGTTGTCTTCTTGGGATTCACAGGCAAAAATAGGTAGTTAAAACTTAATATTTAATCAGACTGATGCTACTGTGTCACTAAAATTGCATTTAAAAAATATTTTTATTGATTTCAGAGAGGAAGGGAGAGGGAGAGATAGACACATCAATGATGAGAGAGAATCACTGATTGGCCACCTCCCGAATGTCCCCGAATGGGGATCAAGCCTGCAAATGTGCAGGAGTGGGCAAAAGTAGGTTCATAGTTGTTCGTATGGAATCCCGGTTATGATTGTTACAATAGTTTTATTAACTCTGTTTCACATACTCACAACTGTAAACCTACTTTTGCCTACCCTGTATGTATCCCTAAGACTGTCAGCCACTCAGGGGTCCTCCTTTCACCTCTGTAACTTGTTTCCTGAGCCCATGCAGCCCAGCTGGCTCACTTTTTCTACTTCTATAACTTTCTAAATAAACTTTCACTTGTATTTGAATAAAAAACAAACAATGAAAAAACCTCTGTTCCATATAAAACTTTTGTACAAATTTGTTAATGTGCAGCTTATGACTTTATTATTCAGCCTCATCTATAGAGTTAGACAAAACTTTGGGAACTGAAATTAATAAACTAAAAAAAACAAAATGTTTATCATTAGGGAAATGAAGAAAGGGGTATAGGGAAATATTTATTTGGGTTGTTATGACAACAGAACAAGCCATCACAACAACATTCTTTCTTTTCCATCTGTCAGACTTTGGCTTGACACAGCTTAAGAAACACTCAATGTCCATCCTAAAGATGAAACGGAACAAAAATGTTATTCTAGATTTGATACATTTTTGGCTCCACTTAAAACCCTTTTATAACTCATACAATATTTGCCACAACTCTGCTATTTCCTCTTGCAGTGGGCAGACTCACTAACAATGATGAGTGAATAAATTGTGTGTTAGGGGGAGGATGCAGGCAACAGTGACTACAGGCGTAAATCAGGCTGAGGTCCACCCTGGGATGTCACAGGGCCATGCACTGAGTGTGTGGCATGCCCTGTTCTCATGCACTCCTCTATGGTGTTGAAAAGCTTGGGGCTATGGACGGAAACCAGAAGAATGAGGCGCTTGCTTCCACTGCTAGCTGAACAGGGCCAGGAAGGGGTGCACGTGCAACGGGCAGAGAATTGTGCCAAGTTGATAAGGATGAAAGCACCAGCTCAAACTTATGTGGAAGGCTTTCTTTGTAGATTTTTTCAGGTCAAACTACTGGCAGCCAGCCACTGCCTCCCAAGCCCTAATTGTCAGGACTTAACCCAAGAACCCTTGATTTCCTATAGCTCTTTTCCCACAAACCAGAAAGAGCTGGGTGTTTGTTGATTCCTCCTGGAGGAACCCCCTTAGGTGGAGCAGCCCGGAGGAGAGAAGGTGGGTTCTGGCTTTCCTGCTCGGTAACCTCACATACACGATGCTCTTTGGTGGGGTCTCTGTGCTCTGATTAGTAGCTATGTCAATGTCTTCCAGGTGAGCCAGACTTGGCTTGTTAGTGGAGGGGGCGCAACTGAGGTTGGAGAGCCCCCAAAAGGAAGGCTGAGCCAAAGCCCCCAGAAGTATGCAGTTAAGGCGACAAGAGAGGTGGAGAACATGCCCCGACTTCTGAGCCCAGGTCTAGGCCTTTCTAAGATCATCCTTTCCCCACCCCCAAAGTCAAGCCTGAGAATGTACAACTAGAGACAGTGGGGCACTGAGCGCAGCTGCCAGAGAACACAGACAGTTACTAGAGTGTGATGAAACCTGATCCCGGTCACTGAAGGGTTATTACTCATCCTTGGCTTCCAGGGCCTCAACCTTGAGAACTCTCTGGTCTGAATTCCCCAGGGTCCAGGGAGCTTGGAGAGCTGCCCAGCGCCCAGCACCAGCTGCAAGCTCAGAGACAGGCCTGCTTCCCAAGCTGAGCTGACGGAGTGCCCAGGGAGTACAGTAACGGTGACATCGAGAGTGAAGAACTGGAACACAGGGTGGAGCAGGCTGGGAGAGCCAAGTGGCTGCCGTCCAAAAGCAACATCATCAAGGTGACCAGATGGCGTGGTGGTGGGGGGCTGGATTCCATCTCCCACCACGCCCCCTGATGAGCTCCACATTCATGTGCTTTGTCCTTTCCATTCCTTCTCTTTTCTTCTTCCTCCCTTTTGTTTTCCAGAGTTGAGAGGCGTATTTCCTCTCTGAACCACAGTGCTTCAATTTTTGTGTTTTGGCAAATGGCCTTCTCTCCAGATGGACTCCTCAGCTGGCCTCATCTGCTTCTGGCCGGCGGGCCCTCTCAGCCGGGCCCACATCGCAGGCTGTCTGGAGCTGCAGCTGCCACTGAGGCTCCTGTGCCCTCAGTTCAGAGCGAAGAAGGCTCTGCTCAGCCACAGTGAACTGCTTTGTGCTCAGCCTCCTGTCTCCTCGCCCTTGTACAGGCAGCTGCTTTTGCCTGGACTATGTCTGAGGCTCAGGGGGACCGCACCTGTGCTGGGAGTGAGTGCCCTCTCCATCTCCAGGACGCACCCCTCTAGCGAGCACTCACAGCACTACTGGGTGGTTTGTTCTCTTCCCTGTCGCCCCACTGTACTGAGAGCTCCTTGAGGGCAGCTCTGGGCCTTTCCCCCTGTCCCCAGCACATACATGGTAGAGTGCCCAACACAAAGTAGAATGAGTAAAAAGTAGGCCCAATACCAGGTAAGTGTTGCAGAGCAGTGCAGGCCTACCTCGTTCCACACCACTCGTGTGCTTCCGAACCTGCATCTTAGATGCCCACTGACTCCCACTGTCACCCCAGAGGAGCTTCCTCTGAAATCCTACGCCATCACCTACCCCCACCCTGGCATCAGACAGTCCAAGACTGCCTGCCATTCAAACACTTTATCAGAAGTAGCCAAGGTTGTACCTGAGCTTGTCTGCGATGAAGATGACCCTCCTTTCCAGAAGCAGGGAGGCAAAAACACAGAGCAGGTGGCGGATGCTGAGAGAAGAGAAGAGGGACTCAAAGTCCACATGTTCGAGCCGGGAGTCCAGCGGGCGGCACAGTTCAATCACCTGCCAGGGAACAGGAGCAGCCGTGAAGGGCCTGCCTACTCAGCCAGGCCGCTCACACAACAAGTCGTTCTCTGCAAGGGTGGCCCACTGGCAAGGGAAAGGGAAAGGAAAACGAAAGGGATCGGGAAAAGAAAGAACCCAGGACACTGGGGGCAGGTACGCGTGGAAGGGAAGCACGTGCCTCGCACTCAACCATGAGACTGAGGACAGTTCGGACGGAGGTGGGGAGAGGATGGCGGAAGCAGTGCCCTTGGATCAAAGTGGCCGGAGGCTCTCCTGGACTCCCCACAGAGTTCTCTGGCTGGTGACTGTGTGCTGTCCCTTAGAGCCCCGCAGGTGAGCGTGGGTCTCAGGAGGAAATATCGCCTGGAGGTATGGAGTCACAGGCTCACTCAGAAGGACCAGCAGGTCCGAGCAGCACTTTCCAGACTCACCTCCTCTAGAAGGACTTTCTTAAAGGACCAACCCCATCCCAACCCCCTGATGTGGAGCCTTTCAGCGCTTACGTTGAGTGTGTGTCTTCTCATTCCATATTTGCTGTTATGTTCCTGAACTCATTGTGGTCACTACTCATGTGCATGTTTTTTCTCTGTAAGGAGCTGGCTCCTTCACAGAGCAGAGACTAGTTTTCACTCTCAGCACAGTGCCTGCTCAGGGCTGTCCATGCAGTGGGCTCACTAGTGCTAACATCCCCAAGGCCAAGCCGCCTGCATCTGGTATGGGATGTTTCTCCAGCCACAGGGACTGCTCTTCTCTATGCTGGGAAATTGGGTTGTTCCGGAATGTCCCAGACCCATCCTCCCCTTCCCCCCCTCCGCCCTGGCTCCACAGGTGACTTGTTCTGCCAGGGACTTTGGAACTAGAGACCCAAGTCTGAGACAGATGTGCCTCCTGAGGTACCAGAGCCACATAAGGGGAATGGGAAGAATGCAAACCAGCTCCTGCATCAAATGCCGGCCCAGCAAGGACAGGAGCGCTCTCAGAGTCTAAGATGAATAAGGAGTAGTCCCTGAGCTTGTCTTCCCTAAAAGTAATGTTTTACATAATCAAGTTACAGAGGTGATGCAGACTAAAAACATGAACAGGTTCATATACAATTCAAGAATGCAATGGGCCTGGCTGGCGTGGCTCAGTGGTTGAGCGTCGACCTATGAATCAGGAGATCTGGGTTTGATTCCCGGTCAGGGCACATGTCCAAGTTGCAGGCTCAATCCCCAGTACGGGGCATGCAGGAGGCAGCCAATGATTCACTCTCATCATTGATGTTTCTCTCCCTCTCTCCCTCTTCCTTCCTTTCTGAAAATCAATAAGAATACAAAAAAAAAAAAAAAAAAAGTAAAGAATGCAATGAGCTATACTGAGAAACCAAGAATGTTCATGCAGGTCCCTAACCTGGAAGGCCAACATCATGCACAGAAACACATGTGCTGCCATGGCGCAGTCCTGGGGGTTGCTCTCTGGACCGGAATCCTGGGCTGGATGCACTGGACTGATGACACCCGAGGGGCAAGAGGACACCACCGAACGTGACAGCCCACCAAAGGCCAGCCCCTCAGAGCACTCGGACTTGGCTGTCTGGGCCACTCTCCCCCAGGAGAGGAAAGGAATCTGACCACTCACCTCAGTTCCCGTTCCTGGCAGGAAGTTCTTGACAATGATGGTTTTGCCCAAGGCTGGGAAAGGGGCTTCCATGACACTCCTCATGAGGGGCTGTACCAGGGCAGGAGAGATGCCTCGGCGTTTTTCCACCTCATCCAAGATCTGCAAGGGTCAGAAAAGCAGCTCAGCCATCCTGAGCCAGGGCACCAAGGTGTTGCCTGTTCTGGATGCAGTGGGCCTGCCATGGAGACTGAAGAATCATGGGAAGCCCTGCTGTCCTCATCAGACCAAGCTTACAGTCTCTTTTACCCTATGTGTTACTACCCCAATTCTCCCCCCTCTGTCATTACTCTCTTTGCCATGTGACTTTTTTTTTAAACAGGTTTTTTTTTTTTTTTTTTTTAAAGATGTTTTTATCAATATTTTAGAGAGAGGGGTAGGGAAAGGATAGAGAGATAGGAACACTGATCAGAGAGAAACATCATTGACCGGCTACTTCCTGCATGCCCCATACTAGGGATCGAACCCGCAACCCAGTAACTGAACTAGTGACCTCCTGATTCATGGGTTGAGCGCTCAACCACTGAGCCACACTGGTCTGGCTTCCATGTGACTTTGTAGTTCCTCCCACTAAAGGGGCGAAGTATAGTTCCAGCCCCCCTTGATTTTGGGTTAGGCCATGTGAGTTTTTGGGCATTCTCAGTGGGAATAATATACAAATATGCTAAAAGCCACTGAAGTGTATATTTTATTTTACTTATTTTTTTGAAGTGTATATTTTATTTTATTTTTTTTAATTTTTTTCCAGGATGGTACTCCCCAGAACCTGCGCCCCTGTGGGCTCTGAAGTGTATATTTTAAATGGGTGAATTATATGGTGAGTTGTATCGCAATAAAATTGTTACTATAAAACTTCAAATGCAAGACGCTTCACAATCTATTTCAATTTAAATGCCATTTATGGGGGTGGGGAGAGGTAGGTGAGGGTAAAGGGGGGATAAATAGTGGTGGAAAGAGACTTGACTGTATATCTATACAATATACAGATGACATATTATACAACTGTACTCCTAAAACCTATATAATTTTATTAACCAATGTCACTCCAATAAATTCAATAATAACTTTAAAAAAAACCCCAAAACCTCATACTTCAATTATACCTTAATAAAACTGGAACAAAATTGGGAAAATAAGCCATTTATAAGAATATCACATGTACCTATTCAACCCTTGATATATGGCTAGTCTGAATTGAGATGTGTTGTAAGTGTAAAATAATCAGTGGATCTCAAAATACAAAATAAATAATGTAAAATATCAATGACTTCATGTTGATTACATGTTGAAATGATAGTATTTTGGATATATTAAATAAAATTTATTATTAAAGTTAAAAAGATAATATGGTAGTTCCTTAAAAAATTAAACAGAATTATCCTATGATCCAAAAATTCCACTTCTGGGTACAAACCTGAAAGAATTGAAGGCAGAGACTCAAACAGATATTTGTATAGTCATGTTCATAGCAGCATAATCTATAATAAAGAGCTAAAAGGTGGAAACAACCCAAATGTCCATCAACTGATAAATGGATAAACAAAATGTGGTATATACATATTGTTTCGACTTAAAAAGTTAAGAAATTTTCACCCAGGTTCTAACATGGATGAACCTTGTTCACTTAGGGCATGCGCTAAGTGAAATAAGCCAGTGACAAAAGGATAAATAGTGTACGATTCCACTGACATGCGATGTTGGAGTAGCCAAATTCACAGGGACAGAAAGTAGAATGGTGGTTGCCAGGGGCTGGTGGATGGGGGTGGGAGGGAATGGGGAGTTAGTGGTTAATGGGTACAGAGTTTTAGTTTGGGAAGATGAAAAGGTTCTGGAGATAGATGGTGGTGGTGATTGCACAACAGTGTGAATATACATAAAGTCAATTAACTGTACACTTCAAAATGGTTAGAATGGTAAGTTTTATATTATATATATTTAGCACAATAAAAAAATAATATGGCAAAAATTTTTAAAGAATTTCATAGGGAGGGGGAGGCAAGTCAGGGGAAAAATATATTAAAAGGCTGCTCAGGGGAACAATAATGAAAAATGGTTGAGGAGCACAGGACCAGTGGAATGAGAGTGCCAGTGCTCGGCCCAGGCCTTCGGAGGCCTTTGGAGGCCTGTCTTTGAGTTTTTGCTTGCCTGCTTGTGCCTCTGCTATAGCAGTAAGAAGAGCGGACGTGGGCCAGCTCTCTGTCTAAAGAGGATGACAGACATGTGGCCCAGACCCAACAGGACTTGCAGCCTAAAGCAGATCTGCCAGCCCAGATCAGCCAACCCCCGCCTACTCCTAGCACATGAGGGAGCCCAGTAGAGATCAGCAGAGCCAAGCCCTGACCTGCATGTCTGTGAGAATAAATGATTGTTGCTTTCAGCCACTGTGGTTTGCTATACAGCATTACTGTGGCAATATTTAATGATAAACCTTCTTCAGAGATTCTAAGAGCAGTTCTTATCCATGATTCCTATCTGGACTAAAGAATAATTTGCCATTTTTGTCATCCTTGTCCCTCACCTGAAAATAGCTTGAGTTCTAGGGATCAGTTTGCCAAAGCTCTGTTTCTAATTCTACCCTGAGTATTTGCTGTACTGTCTTTGGCAAGTCATGACACTACATTCTTAAAATATCCCTGGTCACAAAACTGACGTGAAATCCCAGGATTGTGCCTCACGCAAGCATGATGGCATGTTTACTTGCTCCACATCCCCTGCACAGGACATAGCAACGAAGCTCATGTGAATTCCAAAGCTGTCTTTGGAAGCTAACTCACATGAGCTGTTTTACTTCCAGCTTTCTTTCTTTTTTTTAATTAAAAAATTTTTTTTCTTTATTGATTAAGGTATTACATATGTGTCCTTATCCACTCATTGCCCCCTCCCCCCAGCTTTCTTTTCTTTGGGAGGAGCAGGAAGGGAGAGAGAGAAGCATCTACCTGTTGTTCCACTTACTGATGCATTTATTAGTCGATTCCTGCATGTATCCTGACTGGGTATTGAACTTGCAACCCTGGTGCATCGGGATGACGGGCCAACCAACTGAGCTACCCGACCAGGGCTACTTCCAGCTTTCACATAAGTATTCTCACAATAACAAACGCTGTGACCTACAGCCTTATCTCTGCCTTTAAACCCATGCCAAAGACTTGCAGGAGCAGCAATTTATAAATGACCAACTTTAATGTAGACTGATTACCACCAGTGGACTGGAGGAAAGAGCATGTCTCAGATTATTACGGATACTACTAATTATTTCAAACACACTTGCATAGAGTGTAAGTTCTATCTGGCAAGAGGTCACACTCTATCAGCATAATTCAGGCTTCCTCTGAGGTTGGTGGAGGTGGGGCAGGAGGTAGACTTTTGTTTTGGAATGCTTTTTAGGAAATGCTGCCTCATACCCATGGACAGTAGATGTAAGACTTCAATTCTCCAAAAGAAAGCTCAGACTGAAATAAATGCTGAAGGATTTTATATAAACTTATGAGTATCTCCAGTTAATATAGGAAACTTAGCTATATCTGACTTTTGACATTAGCATGATGTAGCATAATAATCTCTTATACACCAATTTAAAATACTGCGGCGGATGGGCCAACTCAATATGGCAATTCCTGTATCTTGGTATATTAGCAGAAGAACAAATTATATTAAGATTTCAATAGACTTAGGGCATTATTACAATAACAAATCATATACACATAGCACATATACACATATGTACATCGATACATATACATACATACATGCATCATAGTGGGTTTTTGTCCAGCAAAAGCAAATATGACCAAAGATAATGCTTAGAAGAAAAAAAATAAAACATGGGAAATTTTGGGAAGATCCTCTGCCCCTCCCATCCTTAGCTACAATTACTTTGATTCTCTCCCGTTCCCCAGTTTCTGAGCCCTGACCTTCATCAACTGTTATTTCCTGATGCAATGATAAGAGACTAGAGGCCACTGTGAGGGGAGGAGGAGGAAGTGGGAAGGAAGAGTGGAGAGTTAGATTATAAAAGTACCGGAAGTTGGGGGTTTCCTGTGTCCTTCTGGGCCCTGCCTCCTTTCTCTGAGGCCCAATTCCTCACCTTTGAAAAGAGGCTGAAGCATCCCAGGCGGCTCACGATGCAGTAAACTTCAGGGAGACGCTTCCCTTTGCCACCAGGCTTTTTGGAGAGAAATATAGGAAATCATGAATGCTACCAACTTCAGGGAAGGAAAGAACCCAAAGATTTCTGAGTGCTATCGTTTGTCTGATGTTTTCATGCACCATACCTTCGGACAACTGTTGTGCACACAGTAGGTGCTCAACATGACCTATGTATGTAATCATAAATAAGGGGCATAATTTGTTTACCCAAATCACTATAGTTCCTTGTAAGGAACTATATGTTTATTATAATAAACTTTTAAATAAACTATATGTTTATTATATTGATAATTCCAAAGGAGAAATAATTTCTGAAAATCCTTTTTGGAAACTGACTTTTAAGCTAATTTTCAACAAAAAACAAAATCAATCTCAATACTTTAATTTTACCAACAAAAATTATGATCCTACTTAACTTTTTCAAGGATTATCCATACTTTTTAATCAGTAATTAATTCAACAGATATTTACCGAAGAGCTACTATGTGCCATGCATTACTCTTTTTTATTTTAAGAATGCTTTTATTGATTTTAGAGGGAGAGGAAGGAAGAAAGAGAGAGAGAGAGAGGAAGAAATGTCAATTGGCTGCCTCCTGCACGCCCTCTACTAACCTGGCCATGTGCATGACCAGGAGTTGAACTGGTGACTTTTGTTGCATGGGACGATGCCCAACCAACTGAGCCACACCGGCCAGGGCCATGCATTATTCTTTTTTAAAATATATTTTTATTGATTTCAGAGAGGGAGAGATAGAAACATCAATGATGAGAGAGAAACACTGATCAGCTTCCTTTCGGCACGCCCTCTACTGGGGATCCAGCCTGAAACCCAGGCATGTGCCCCTGACCAGAATCGAACCCAGGACCCTTCAATCTATAGGCCAATGCTCTATCCACTGAGCAAAACTGGCTAGGGTACATTATTCTTTTTTTATTTGAATAGATTTTTACTGATTTTAGAGAGAGAAGTGAAAGGGAATGAGAGAAACATTGATGAGAGAGAGAAACATCGATTGGTTGTCTCCTACACGCATCCTAACTGGGGACTGAACCCATAACTTGGGCATGTGCCTTGATCGGGAAGTGAACCCATAACTTTTTGGTGCATGGGATGGTGCTCAACCAACTGAGCCACACAGGCCACAGCCATGCATTATTCTTGACTCTAAATTATATTAGCCTATTTCTAAGACTAAAATCATTCTCAGTAGAAAATGATGTGTCACTATGAAAGATTTTCAAAGGAATGGGCCTCAGAGGACAAGTTTTCAAATGTTTTAGCACAGTCAGTATATTGGGATAGTTTATGACTTTTAAAGGCTCTAAAGGAGACACTTGATCAATTATTTGCATCATGAACAATAAAACCAACCCTTTTCTGTCCTTAGCCCCATTATGAATGTTCTCACGAAGGTACCCAGGTCTGTTTAGCATGTTTTATTAGAAAGGACATTTGGTTTAAGAAGAGAAAGTCTTTTACTTGGTGGGGAAAACATTGGAGAAAGTATTTTCTTTCCAAAGGAGACATCGTCCAATGCAACAACTGTTCCCATCTGTCAGTAAGATTCAGCTGAAGCCCCCAATCTTCCTCCATGTTCTTTTTAAAAAAAATGTATTTTATTGATTTTACAGAGAGGAAGGAAGAAGAATAGAGTTAGAAACATTGATGAGAGAGAAACATCAATCAGCTACCTCCTGCACGCCCCCTACTGGGGATCGAGCCTGCAACCAAGGTATGTGCCCTTGACCAGAATTGAACCCGGGACCCTTCAGTCCTCGGGCCAACGCTTTATCCACTGAGCCAAACCGGTTAGGGCTCTTCCTCCATATTCTTAACCATCCTGGTTAACCTGCCACACCGCCTGTCCCTTCTCTCGTGGCACATGGTGAAACCGTAGGAAGCCAGCACTGGCTCTGTGCGGCACTCTTGCTGACTGAGAAGCAAATGTACTAACCAGCAGTCTTCGGCAGTAACCGAACCTTCTGCCTCCGTCTTCTCCAGTTAAGACAAATGAGAATGTTTCACTGTGGTGGGGAAAACGAGAGTACATTATGAAGCAAAACAAAACAAAGACACACCACGGTGAGTGCTGTAAACATTCTGAAGGAGGCTGTCCATCTCTGGCTGGGACTCGGGTCACCTCTCGCTTTGGAGTCTGTCAGGGACAGGGAGCTCTAAAGTGTCACTGTGTCCTCAGAGGATTTTTTTTTTTCACTCTGAGATCTCATATAATTCTATCACCTGAGCCATCCCTGGACACAAAACAGTCATTTACTGAGCACTGATTGTGGCTACTGCCTTCCATAAGCATGAGGGTGAGGTTGCATGCACTGGTCTAGGGATGCGACTCAGTGAGGGAGAAGCTGACGAGTGGGACAGTTCTGGGCCCCCTCAGAACTGCCCTGGGTATGGCGTTTCCAGGGGACCGTCTGTTCAGAGCCACCTCCAGGCTTGGACTGTCCTTAGAGGCTGCTGGGTCAACTTTGAGGAACACAGCAGCCCTCAAACATTTAGGATACACAGCCTACTGAGTTTGGTCAGTTGCTGAACATCTGATAATAAAAAGTTTATACCTAGCCACATGGGCTAGAGCAGAAATGTGAACAAATCACAGTCTGAGTAACAGCTGGAGGGCTACTGAAGAAATGCCTCAGTGGACCTGGGCAGGATGTGTGATGGGCAATGTTTCCCTAGACTAGGAATGACCTTATTGCCCTTCACAAAGGCTCATGAAGTAAACAAATACGCAGAATGAGTGAGCAGCCTGGGAACCTGCATACTTAGCAAGGTTATTCTTATCATCAGGAAAGTTTCAAAAACACTGGTGAGGGAAACCTCAGCCCAGGCCCATAAAGATTGCTTAATGGTAGGCCTGACTTACGGGGTCTGCCATCTATGACCCCATCTCTAGTTCTCACATTAGTCTTTTTAAACAATATATATATTTTTATTGATTTCAGAGAGGAAGGAAGAGGGCGAGAGAGATAGAAACATCAATGATGAGAGAGAATCATTGATTGGCTGCCTCCTGCAGGCCCCCTACCGGGGATTGAGTTGGCAACCGGGGCACGTGCCCTTGGCCGGAATTGAACTCAGGACCCTTTGGTCCACAGGCCAACACTCTATCCACTGAGCCAAACTGGCTAGGGCATGTCTTAGTCTTTGAGGGTGGGGAGGGGAGATGCCAGCACCTACCTAGTAAACTGCTGGACAGGAGTCCAATCCTTGGCATCGGGGAAACAGAACTGGGGGATGGCCTTCAGCTGGTCCTCAGCCTCTCTCATGAACTTGAAAGACCTTTCCAGCTGCAGGGAAAAGGGTGAGAGAAGGTTGGAGAATAAACCATAGCATGGGAGAATGAGGCAGACCACATCTTCAACCTTCCCACAGTCATGACCGCCACCTTCGAATCCCCTTCCTTGGAAGGGTTTCCAGCTCATTCTGCTGAGGCCATTTCCCCCCAGGCCAGTTTGAACCATGGTCTTATGGGGGAAGTCAGGGGGAAAAACAGTGTGCTTTAGAGAAATGTCTTCTATGCCTACCATTCTGGAATGTAACTATTTTAATCAATAAGGAAAAGCTGTCATAGCAATCCCTTCCAAATAGGAGACTCATGAGTATGCAAGGCTGAGCCTCAAATCAAGACTTCAAACCTCTGGGCCCAGACAAAGCTGCCTGTCCCGCAAAGAGGTGTACAACACTTCTCAGCGAATACATCCAGTCACATTATATCATACAGTGAATTCAACTCACGTCAGAGTCCTTGAATGTCAGAGCCAGAAGGAAAATAGACATCATCCAGCCTCACAGTCTTCTTTTAGAGATAAGAAATTAAGCCCTGAGATGTTAAGTCATCTGTTCATGATCACACAACTGAGCTAGGAATAAACCTGATCTTGCCCCAGCTGGTATAGCTTAGTTGGTTGAGCGGAGTCCAATGCACCAAAAGGTCGCTGGTTCGATTCTGGGTCAGGACACATGCCCAGGCTGCAGACTCTGTTCCCAGCAGGGGGCATGCAGGAGGCAGCCAATTGATGTTTCTCTCTCCCCCTCTCCTGTCCTCTCTCTCTAAAATCAATAAAAACATTTTTAAAAAATGATCTTAGTCTCTAGTTTGTCTTTCTCTCTCCAATTTATCTGACATCATAGACTAGGTGAGCATCATCTTATTTAAAAACAGAACAAATGAATAAAGTCTGACTTAGAGATTATATTTAAAGCCACGAGTTTGCTTATTTTGTGTATGAACAGGAATCTGCGCTTCTAATTCTTTAAATTTTTAATTATTTATTTATTTTTTTGGTTAATCCTCACCCAAGGATATTTTTTTCCATTGATTTCCAGAGAAAGTGGAAGTGGGGGAGGGAGGGAGGGAGGGTAGGAAACATCAATGTGAGACACATGGATTGGTTGCCCCCCAAATGTGCCTGGACTGGGGCCAGGGTTTGAACCTGTAACCCAGGTACATGCCCTTTACTGGGAATCGAACCCTCAACCCTCTGCTGCTCAGGCCAATGCCCTAATCACTGAGCCACGCCAGCTAGGGCCACATAAGCACATTTACAGGGAGTAGCACAAACAGATCCCTCTCACAAATACAGCCAATATCAGAGATGGCTAGAAAATATCCCAGTCTCCGTAAATTGTCATAGAGAACTGCATGACAGCAAACATCTTATGGAACATGACAATGATTCCTAGCATGCAAATATGAAGTATAAACCTTGAGTACGATGACTATAGGAGTGGGATATAAAACTCAGGAAAATGAGTTAGAAAAGAGGAGAAAAAAAGAGGAAGCGATTCTTCTGACAGAGTAAACGAGCGAAGGAAGTAGATATAAAGTAGCCTGGCATGCAAAATACATGTATGGAATGGTCACGATAACATAAAAAATACATTTAAAGAAACACTGGCCATAAGACATATTTCCAGCAGGAGGAGGTGGTTAACTAGATTAGGGTGCCCACATAATGGAGCATTATCTAATTTTAAAAATAATGATTTAGAATTTACAATCCAGGCATGTGCCCTTGACTGGAACTGAACCTGGATCCTTCAGTCCACAGGTCATTACTCTATCTACTGAGCCAATACATATTCAATTTGTATTGAATATGTTTATAAATAATCAGTGGTTTACAAAACATGATTAAAAAATGATACATGTACAGGATGGGACAAAGACTATTCAGTTGTGTGTACATGAAACACAGATTTTATTTTTATATTACTCTTTATTAATTATTGTATTATTTTCTATATGAATAACTATAAACCTACTTTTGCCCCACCCTGTTTTGCAAGAAAATCATAACATGAAAAAAGACTAGAAGAAAACACAACAAATGCTGTGTTGATCTTATGGAATGAAATTATAGGTGACTTTTTTTTTTCTGTTTAAAATATGTTTTTATTTATTTTAGAGAGAGAGGAAGGGAAAAGGAAGAGAGAGAAATAAATATGGATGTGAGAGGGAAACATCGCTCGGCTGCCTCCTGCATAACCCCTACTGGGGATCGAGCCCAAAACCTGGGCACGTGCCCCAATCAGGAATTGAACCAGTGACATTTTGGTGCATGGGTTGACACCCAACCAACTGAGCCACATTGGCCAGGGCCACTTGTTTCTTTACATATTTGCTGATTAATCTCTTAACAGTGACTATGCAATTTTCCAGGCAAAAAAGTTTCAATGTGGATGTCTAGCAGTCTGGAGATTCCAGGTTGGAAACTAGCATTCAATAGTGACGGTGATTAATTCATTAACTAATTCATGAACTAATGCCTCTATTCCTGGAACACTGATTAAGTACTTCCATATACAACATTGTGTTTGGCCCCAAGGAGTAAACAGGATGACAGGACAGTCCTTCCTCCCTTGGCGCTCGCTATGTGTGGTTCTCAATGGCATTGTGAGTCAGTGATAACCAGCAGCCTCTCTTAGCCAGGGGACATCGTCCCCAATCTAGGCATGTCCATATCATGGGGGTTTTCATGGGATTGTCCCTAGAAGTCAGCAGGATGAAGGTGACTCTGTGCCAATTTAGCTCACTTCATTTATGTAGAGTTTCCATCCTAAACTCCAAGAACAGGGCTTTATTGCAGTGCTGAACCACTGCGGTGGGACAGAAGGAAGGCTGACCCAGGAAAGGAATGGAGGGGCAGCTGGAACCTAGGCCTCACTTGGTTGGTGATGGCAAAGGAAGGCCCTCAGGGGGCCAGGACACAGGCTCCTCTCCACCTGAACACCCTCAGCCTTGGGTCTGCATGAACCCTACAGGGAGAGTGTCACATGCTACCTCCTGAATCTTTTGTATGCTTACCTTTTTAAAAAATATATATTTTTATTGATTCCTGAAAGGAAGGGAGGGAGAGAAAGAGATAGAAACATCAATGATGAGAGAGAATCATTGATTGGCTGCCTTTGGCACACCCCACACTGGGGATCGAGCCCACAACCCAGGCATGTACCCTGATTCATAGATCGACGCTCAACCACTGAGCCATGCTGGCTGGGCTGTATGCTTATCTTGTGCTCTCCTGTCAGTGTGAACAGAAAACACATTTTGCTCATCTTTGAAACCTCTGGGGCTGAATGCAATAGGGTTTCAGTAAATTCTGGTTGGATTGAACTAGAATGTGATGGAAACTCTTTAATACTGCTGTCAAAGCCTAAGAATAATTACATAGTATTGGTCACGCCATTTGAGGCTTTATTCAGGGCCATTTCATTTTAGGTGCCATGATTTAATACATGGGTAGAGCCCAATACTCATCGCCATGAACCCTGTTAGAACAGAATAGGATTCCTGTATGTATGCACATACAGAGGTGCACGGTACCCATACAGATGTTTATTAGCATGGCAACAAATGTGACACTCCTTAGGGAGAGCTGTGTGGCTGGATGGGAAAGAGGCTTCTAGAATATGTTGGGAAATGTGGTTGGATAAGGAGATGGGGGAGGGAGGAGGAAGGATGGTACGGTTGGCACAGAGACCACAGGAATTCAGGATGTATTTTTGATCACATGCTGAGTCCTTGGATCTCACCTCCTGTGACCTCCCAAATTCTCCAGCAGAAGTTTCTTCATGACATCCCTAATTAGGACCCAGTGTTGAGATTCTGGACACTACATGATCCTCAGACTCCCACACCTCCCTGAATCCATGAGTTCTGCAGTCGCCTGGCAGGCCACAGAGGCCGGGCCCACCCAGTACCTTCAGAGGGAACTGCTGGGTGAGTTCTGGCACGTAGGAGGCCCCTGCCTGCTTCTTGTGCAATGACACGACTACAAAGTACTCGAAGAGCTGCCTCTCCTGGTACTCGATAAGCTCTCGGTCAAGTGATGAGTATCTTGGAGGCTGCTTCAGGCGGGACTTCACATTGACCAGGCGTCGGCTATGAGCTGGGGGGGAGGGGAGAGGGAGAGAGAGAGAGATAGAGAGTCTGAAAATGACCCATTTTCCAATGTGCAATTGCACAGAGCTGCAACAGGTTATGTAATTCCCAGCTCAAAGTACTTTTCTAATCCCAAAAGTGTTCCCACATTTAAAAAATTAGTACAAATTCTTTCTTTGGGATCTTTGCCAAAATTCTGGGAGGAGAACACTCTCTAGGCCGCCAGGCTAATTGGTAATTGGGGTGCAGGAACTTGGAATGTTGGGCTTCTGCTCCACCATGGATTTGCTATCTGGACTTGGGGCTGGGCCGGGAGCAATCCTTGCATTCCTCTGTCAGATGGGGTGGAGACACTGACTCCTCCCCTCCCTCATTTCCCTCATCTTTCCAATTGTGGGATGTGACAAAACCCAAACCATAGAGCTTTTGGAGCTGGGAGCTTTGTAAACATCCCGTGTGACTCAACCAAGAGAGACCTGACTAACCCAAGAACTCCCATCTGCCTTCACCATTCTGTGCAATGGAAACGAGCCCGCTTTATTTTAGGTGGGCTGTGTAGCAGCAGAATGTTAGAGGTGAATGAGGCAGGGCCACTGGGTGGACGGATCTCCATCGCCTTACAACACAGTCCTGGGCTACAGCTTTCTTTGACTTCCACCTGGGGTCTGAGAAATTGCAGAAAACTCACCAAAGCCTGACCTAAATCACCACATTTTGATCCACAGGGACTAATTATTTCAGTGATTTCATATGACAGATGGGGAGCTAGAGGCCCTGAGATCTTATGTGAGTTCCTCCAGATCATACAGACATTTGAACAATAGGGCCAAATCCCCAGGTGTCCGGGGACTTAGGCCAGAGGTGGTGTACTTCGCTCAGGTGTGAAACACACCTATGACATAATGGAAAGGCATGGGAACAGTGGGGCCCTGAAGGTGTAGCCATCCTGCATCTCTGGAGTGGAACAGGCCCATCCTAGTCATGCTGAGGACTGACCGCCCCCCCAAGCATCCTGTGCCCCTCCACACCCCCCGTCCCGGCATGGCTACTGCTCTTCTCACCTTTCAGCTTCTCCTCGGTGTCACTGTCAGATTCACTGTTCTCATCTGTCACTAGATTGAAAAAAAGGAAGAAAGTTGCAAATGTAAGTTTTTCTGATGTAGGAAACTTTTTAAAAAATATATTTTTATTGATTTCAGAAAGGAAGGGAGAGGAAGAGCGAGATAGAAACATCAATGATGAGAGAGAATCATTGATCGGCTGCCTCCTGCACACCCCCTACTGGGGGTTGAGCCTGCAACCCAGGCATGTGCCCTTGACCGGAACTGAACCCAGGATCCTTCAGTCTGCAGGCTGAAACTCTATCCACTGAGCCAAACCAGCTAGGGCTGTAGGAAACTTTTCATATGTGATAGCACAAAGCCAAGATTTCTAGTTTAGAAGGACTGTTTTCCTTTTGTCTATTTAAATGTAATGGACAAATTATGTCTTTGTCCAACAAAATGTATTTCCAAATTAATTCGGCCCTAGATTAGATTTTACCTATATCAAATTATACAGCAAAAGATACTGGCCCCTTTTATGCATGCTAAGCAAGTAGGACTGCTCCCATAGTGAGGTTGGAGCATGCTGCCCTGGGCTCACTGGATGGAAGGACAGGGAGAGAGGACCAGAGGACATGCCAACAAGCTGAGCTCCTGGCTGTTGGACCGTCCTGGGGACAAGGAAGACATCCACAAAGCACCAGCTTGTTCTCTTGGTGGCCAGCCCAAAGCAACAGGAATCCACTTCTAGGAAGAATCTGTTTTCAGATCCTCTGGGGGATGCTCCTACCTTTTCCTGAGTTGCTCTCTGTTGACTGGGACAGCCTCTTCACTCGTTTCTTTCCTCTTCGGGCCTCATAAATGGCATTGATTCGCAACACCAGCTGCCAGACACCAAGAGAAGAAACGCCAGTGTTGGCAGCCTCCTCCCCATGTGCAGCTGGGATCCCTTCACTGCCCATTCTCTTCCAGAATGATGGAGGGCCAGGGAAAGGGGCAGGGAGGAGACATGTCCCACTGGCCCACTGGCATCTTTTCTGCCAGACAGGAACGTGGCTGTCAGAAACACTAAAGGAGGCTGCCATCCTCACTGATGTATGAGCGGTGTTGTCTAAATATGCTAACACCTCCAGCTGAGACACCAGGGAGGATGATTTCATCGGTTAACGGTGTGATGGCTGCTCCCCTTTCAATATTCCAATATCACTGTGGTTTGGGAAAAAGCTTTTGCCCCCAAAACAAAGCAAGAAAAGGAAGAGAAAGCATAAAAAAGCTCCCAGAAGGGCCCCTTTCGTGGGAATCATGCCAAAGAATGTCTGAATGGGAAGGGCGCAGGGATTACGGGTGCTGAGTCCTCACCTCTGCACCAAATGATGCCATGCTATGGCTCAAGTTTTTATAAGATTTTGTGTAACGTGATGGTAAAACATGCTGATTTTTCTCTGGTTTGATTAGGCCTGTCAAAAGGCTATTTGACCCAGTGCCAGTGTGCTGTTTAAACGGTGGCAATTCACTTTAATTTCAGGCAGTAAAGTAAGAGAAAATAAACTGGTGCAAATTAAACATGTGGATGAAAAAGGGGTCGCATACTAAACTGGAAAAGCTCAGGGGAGGCCTGCATGGAGGCCTTACAAACTCAGAGACTGAAAGTAACCACATCGGAGAGTCTGAATGTAAAAATTCCTAACTAAAAGCAAGTCATGGCAACAGTCATGTCCTAGGCTTACAGGCCTTGAGAAAGGTCAGCCTTTACCTTAAGTAAGCCTGTCTATAGACTTTTTGCATCTAAGATAACATACCCTTGGAATGTCACAGTAAATCCTCCTTTCTTGGATCCCTCAGGGCATAACCACAGGCCAGAGCACCAGACCACCAGTGCTGTCTCTGCAGTGGGTGCTGACACTGGCACAGGGCATGGAGGAAGGAGCTCTACTGCTTGAGGCCATGAAAGAGGAAGATGTGGCCTTTGGAGGCTGGGCATTGGAACACTGTCTGAATCAGAAGAGTAGTTACAGCTGGGAGGAGGATGGTGATGTGAAAGGCTACAGGGCCACAAGAATTATTTTGACAAAGGCCCAGACATCCCATCCTGCTGGCTTCACGGTGTCCCCCTGGCCTGTGACAAAGCAGGCAGAAGAGGGCCCAGGCTTGTCCTCTGCTCAGACTCCTCTGCAGCCTTCCTTTGCAGGAGGTGGGGTGCTTATCTGAAGACGAAGTTTGCTGCAAGCCTTACCTTGGGTATCTTTCTCTTCTTCCTGCCATTTGGCAGGTCTCCAAGGTTAAAGAAAGTGTCGTCGGGGCTGCTGGGAGTGGAGGGGGGGCTGATTCTGGAAGGGGACCCCATTCCATCCCGACTCAGCTTCCTAGTGTCCAGCAGTTTGAAGTTCCTTCTGTCTGAATTTTGCCGGAAAAAAGCAGGTTTGGACAATAACTGCTGTGAGGGGAAAGAAGGATAAATAAATACTAAAGGGATGAACTGGCGATCACTGGTGATGCCAGAGACCATGAGATTGAGAAGGGGAACTGGTCTAGGTTCCCAGGTCTGTTGAACTTGTCTATTAACACTTATCATCCAATTATGGAAAATTGGTATAATAAATAACGCAGGTCTAATTCTCTTTTTTAGACAGGTGGGAACTAACTTGGTTTAATCACTTACTTAACAGATGAGGCTTTCTGACAACCCAAGGCACACAGTATACATGGTATACAGGGTATACACAGTATACACAGTATACACAGTATACACACAGTACAACACCTAAGCTTAGCTATTGCCTCCTAGATAAGGAATTTCACGTCTCTGGGCCTCATTGTCTTACTTCTAAAAATGAGTTGCTTTAAGGTTAAAAGCCAACCAAAAAAATTAGGTAACTCACAGAGCTCATTTTTCTAATGCACACTACAAATAAATGAGAAGATTAACAATTCAAAAGAAAAATAGGCAAAAGAATGGAAAGTTTATAGAAAAGAAAATACAATGATTCTTAGATATATGAAAAGGTTCTTAGTGTCACTCATAAGAGAAAAGAAAATTAAAATGCCATTGTGGAATTATTTTTCACTCAAGGATTAGCAAAGATAAAAACTTTGTTAATTCTCTTGGGGTGACTGGAAATTGTTACAACTCTATGGAGGGCAATGTAGCAGTATCAACAAATTCACAATTGACATACCCTTCACCAAGCAATTCCTATACAAGTGTGAATTCAGTCCTATAGACTGCTTCAGCAAATTTGCCCTGCTGATATGCTCATACTTGTACAAAGTTATATTGTACAAGGAAAGTTATACTGTGCAAAGTCTATTGTATAATGTGCTATGATGTGTAAACATAAAATACTGGAAACAACCTAAATATCTATCAATGGAGGCTGGTCAAATAAATTATTGTAGATCTATACAGTGTAATACAATGCAGGTGTAAAAAATCGTAATGTACTGATATGGAAGGTTATCTCTGGTATAAATTGTTAAGCATAAAAAGCACAGTGCAAAGTGTAGACTAGTCAGTATAGTGTGCTGGGCTTTGTATGTGTGTTTTACAGAGCTATTCTGCTGGTATTTGCACAGTTCTACAAAGAATCACAGCAATTCAGTGGTTTCTCTCGGGGAGAGAAAGAGGGTCCAGGAAGAGGAGGACTTTCATACCCCTAAAATTCTGAACCACATGAATGTATTAACTATTCACTAAATAAGAAATACTAATAAAATAACTACTTTGACTACACGTTCTCTAAAGGTACTTCCAAGACTCACATTTTATGAGACTATAAATACAGTTGCAAAGTCTCTTTTTTAAAATAATAAATTAGATAAGACACCTAGCAAAGGGCCTAATAAACAACAGGCACTCAGTATAAGTTATTTCTTTTTCTTTCTCTATGACACTGACTTTTTTCATACTTTAATATGCAAACTGCATTTTTATTTAGTATATAGTTTATATTCTTTTGGAATCCCAGTGTTTTTCTTATTAATTTGAATGAGCTCTCTATATAGATCAGATATTAACTATTTGTCAATTTTGCTGCAAGTGCACTTTTATTTATATGTTGGATATGTGGAATCTCTTGCATAACATTTTTATATATGAAAATCTGTTTATCCTTTCCGTTGTGAGAGATTTAATCTTTACCTAGAACAAGCATGTCAAACTCAAAGGCTAACACAGGCCAAGTAAACAAGGTTTAAGTTTATGTGGGCCGCAAAAAAACAAAAGCTTCAATTTTCATAGAAACATAGGTTTATTTCGATAGAGACATGCTGAAATAATGAGTAACTGTTAACATAAAATAATAGAACATTTTAATAAAAATTAATATTTTTTCTTGAACATTAACTTACCAGACACTGAATAACTGCACAAATAAGCATAACGCAAATAAACCTATTTCTCTTGCCCTAGCTGGTTTGGCTCAGTGGATAGAACATCAACCTGCGGTTTAAAGGGTCCCGGGTTCAATTTTGACCAAGGGCACATGCCCGGGTTGCTGGCTTGATCCCCAGTAGGGGGCGTGCAGGAGGTAGTCAATCAATGATTCCCTCTCATCATTGATGCTTCTATCTCTCCCTCTCCCTTCCTCTCTGAAATCAATAAAAATATATTTTAAAAAACACACACAAAACCAAACAAATCTATTTTTCTTGTTCTCCGAAAGCGAAATATTTCCTGTTACACACACCAAACAAGTCAGTACAAGACTAATGATGTGGCAATCGGCTGCTAAAATATTCACTGCTAGTATTAGTGGAGAGAAATGGTGCGCCTGTGCATAAGGCACGTAAGGGAAATGAATGCAACACGATTATAGTAATCAGTCATTAGCGAACGTTGTAGTCGTTATTAATAATTATGTATAATAGAATATTGTAAAAATTAAGTTATGAAATTTTTATTAAAACATTTCTTACATACTGTTACATTGGCTGGGCCGCATGCTGCCCGCGGGCCTTGAGTTTGACATGCTTGACCTAGAAAATCTATTATCTTTTTATAGATTTAATAAATAATTCCATTTTTTCTATATGTTCTTAATTTATTTTGAACATAATTTATTCAGTAATCTGTCAGTAATGAATTTTATTGTATGTTAGTTTAAATTGATTCTTCCCCATCTAACTTATCCCTATTTCATTAATGAATGAGCCTTTCTCTTAATATCATTTTATAAGCCCACATTTATCATATCTTGAACTCCACAGAATAGGCTTATTTTATTCCATTCATTCCTCCACTCTTGTTTTGTTTCAAATAGTGTGTAACAATAACTTCAGGACCTTTTCTTTTTAAAGGCTGCCAGGAAGAAAGGCTCCTAGCCTTTCTAAGTGGCCTGCTGCAATGTTTTATCATGGGCCTACAGGGAGCATCAATTGCCGAGCACTGCAAGTTCTGAGTACAGCAAGAGGCCACCGGGTTTGCTCACTATGGGCATCTTAATAATGATGCAGCACAAGAACAAGAAATAATAATGAGCCTTTTTTTAAAAAAAAATCCTCACTTGAGGATATGTTTTCATTGGTTTTAGAGAGAAGAAGGAAGAGGGAGAGACAGAAACATCGATGTGAGAGAGAAACATCAATTGGTTGCCTCATGTATGCACTTTAAATGAGGATCGAACACGCAACCTGGGTATGTGCCCTGCCTGGGTATCGAACCTGCGACCTTTCAGTGTACAGGATGATGCTCAATCAACTGGGCTACATTGGCCAGGGCAATAGTGAGCCTTCTTAAAGACCAATTGCATCAGCAATGAAATCCAAGGAAATGGCCCCAATTCTTTCACTGCATTAGAATCTTATATCAAATTGTTGGCAAAAAGCAGGTATCTGTTTTCATTAGAAATTTAGATTGTGGAGTGTTTGTTCAGAGAACATCTGACCTATGAAAAGGTCTGAGAGGAAAACAAAGAGAAAGGAATAAAAACTCGTCACAATTTTCTAAAGGGTGTAAAAGACCTGGTGGAGGCTGCGTGTGGTCACACTGCTGGAGGGAGGGGCCTTGGAGTGCCCCAAGCACTCCCCCAAAGCCCCAGATGTCCAGGGAGCTTTCATGAGGGAGTGGAATTTCAGTAGCTGCTTAGCTGATAAAAAGAGGACTTGATGGGCTGTTCGAGCATTATCAAGTATGCAGCACAATCTGAGAATAGACATAGAGGTGAGGAAGAGCAAACAGACCAGTACAATAGTGAAGACATTCAATTGTCTGTGGAAGGCCTTGGAAAGTGAGGGTATAAAGCTTGGACTTTGCAAGGGTCAGCAAGTTTTTTCTTTTCACCCCCCTGAATATAAGCTTATTTTTATTTTTATTTTTTTTCCTGTATTTTATTGATTTTTTACAGAGAGGAAGGGAGAGAGATAGATAGTTAGAAACATCGATGGGAGAGAGACATCGATCAGCTGCCTCCTGCACATCTCCCACTGGGGATGTGCCCGCAACCCAGGTACATGCCCTTGACCGGAATCGAACCTGGGACCTTTCAGTCCGCAGGCCGATGCTCTATCCACTGAGCCAAACCGGTTTTGGCTAAGCTTATTTTTAAAAGAATATATATTAAAGGCATTATTCTATGCATTTAGCAAATATAAATAGTACTTATGTTACAGGCACTAGTCTAAATGGCTTACAATGATTAATTTGATTAATCTTCATAAATCCCAGAAGAGGAGGATGCTATTATTATTCCTATTTTACCAATGAAAAACTAACACATGAAGATGAGATCATTTGCCCAAAGTCTCACAGCTAACAAGAGGCCTAGGCAATTCTGAATGGAGGCAGTCAGGCTCTAACACCTTTGATCAGATGCTGCCTCTCGGTAGCTACGACTGAGTGTCGGTGTGGGGGGCCTATGCAGGCAACCAGAGAATGTTAGTGATACATTTTCCCCTTAGGTGTCAATACATAAAAAATAATTTCTCATAGGAGCCTATGTTTCCCTCATTATAAACATCAGGAAAAGAGCACGGCCCTTCTCAGGACCTAGCACTGTGTGTGCAGGCATTAGCGTTGCCTCTGGCTGCACGTCTGCTCCTTTCTAGCGCGTTTGTCCAAATGACCCTTCCTTTTCTACTGGGACAGTCTAAATAGGTGAAAATCCTAATGTAGCGTAATGACATTACATTAAAATGATGAAATATCATTCAGGGCCTTTCTGTGACTGGTAGAGGAGGTCGTCACAGAAGAAGGAACTGCTTCAGCAAGTTCTAAGGATCCACATGTCGCCCAGATGTGGCATGAATATTTGAGGAGCTAAATGGAGGGAGTGGAGAAGTCTGCAGCTGTCCCCAGAATGGGGGCACAAACCAGACACCCAGTGTAGGACAGCAGAGAAGGGAGTGTGGACAGAGTCCTGCCGATGGCTTGCAATGGCCCCAAACAGCCTACAGGGATTGGTGGCTATCGGACTCGTGCATTAGGAACTGGATTACTTTCTGCAGGAGAGCTGCCTCTGAACTTCCAAGTTCCCATTGACACGATGCCTACTTGCTGAGCTACTTTGGGGACAGAGGACCCAGGTGTTTTTAGTCCAGCAGGAAGGGGAAGAAAAGAGCTAAGCCTTTCTTTTTTGGCTTTAGGGAGTAGTCACAACAGAGATTGTATATTTACTTTCTAGCCCTTTAGAGAAAAAGTTTGCTAATCCTGGGCCAATTATATCAGGGGGTAGTCAGTAGGCTCTCCTGGGAGGGGAGCTTTTGTATGTAGGAGCATTGTGAAATTAGGTAGTAATGATATCCAGGGATCAATTATGAAGGAAATTTATTTATTAATTATTATTTTCTATGAAGGAAATTTAATGCCATGGTAAGGAGTATGAATTCAGTCCTATAGGCAAATTGTTGAAATAATCATGTATGTCAATATAGTTATATTATCTATACATACATAATTCCAAAGGTTCAAAAGGATATTTTGTACAAAATGTCAGTCTTCTACCCTGACTACCAGGTACTCAGACACTCATACATCTCCACAGAGGTACCCGCTTACTCATTCTTAAGTATCCTTACAGAGGTCTTCTACATGAAAAAACATATATGAGATTACATATATACGTATACTAGAGGCCCGGTGCACAAAATTTGTGCACTTTGGGGAGGGGGGGTCCCTCAGCCTGGCCTGCACTCTATTGCAGCTCGGGAGCCCTCGGACATCCTTAGCGCTGCCATGAAGGCAGGAGAGGCTCCCGCCACCACCTCTGCACTCACCAGCCATGAGCCCAGCTTCTGGCTGAGTGGCACTCCCCCTGCGTTGAGTGTCTGCCCCATGGTGGTCAGTGCACATCATAGCAACCGGTCATTTTGCCGTTCGGTCAATTTGCATATTAGTCTTTTATTATATAGGATATATATTCTTTCATTAAAAACCCCCACAAATGGTGTCTTTCTATAGTTTAGAGTTTGTTTTATGACATTCTTCTTAATGGCTCTATGGCTATCCACTATCTTATTTGCCTAGTTGGGGAGGTTTCTGAAACCAGAAGCTAAAATGATACTTTAGGAAACTTTGTTGAACAGAAGGCTCCAGAATTAGAGGCAGAAAGAGCAGGAAGGCAGTTAATGTACATCTCGGAGCCTGGAGCTGAGGGTGGCCTGGCATTCCAGTGGAACCCAGAGCTACAGGCTGCTCAAGACATGGTGCTGGGGACCCCTTGCCCCCCAACACTCCCTTGAGGGCTCATACCTTGGTGGATGTGTCAGAGACTGAAGAGGCGGAAGAACCAGGAAAATTCAAGGCACATTTCTTTCCCAGGCAGCGACCATGTAAGTCAATGTCCTCATAAGGGTTTTCCTTCATTGGTAGATCTGTAGTCAAAGGCAATGGGTCAGAAACTGGGAACGTTGCGGTTTTCCTTACCGGATCTACCTAGCAACCAGGCCTCTCCATGTGGAGATGTCTGATGTCTTGCTATCTATTTGTTCTTCTCTTGGTAATAGACCCTGATTTGTTCTTCTCTTGGTAACTCCCCATCTCCCGTTCTAGATGTGTGAGATTAACTCCACTCCCATTTTAGGGCTTTAGCCAATCGGAGTCTCCAGAGTCCCTGTCTCAGTGACCAGTGCCAGGAAGGACCCATACCCCAAGTCTAAGCCAATCACTGCATGGCATTCATGGGCTCTGAAGGTGAACAAGGGACCTACACTGGTCTAGCTGGGGCCAGCTTCGGGTTTTTTGCTGGGACTTTCAGGATACAGACTCTCCCTCCAGGGAGCCAATGGCAGCCATCACGGGAACTTGGGAAACCTGCTGAGAATGGAGCTAACCTGAGAAATAAGAAATGAGGAAGAAGCCAGTTCTGGTCACATGAGCCAACCAACTCTCTTTGTTGTTTCCAGTGGGTTTCTGTTCCTTGTAAGGAGAGCTTCCCTGTCAGGTATACTCACTGCTGAGGAAAATCCAGATCTCATTCCTGCTTTGGATTTGGGAAGCCTAATGGCAGGAACCCATCTCCAGCAGCTTGGACACAGCAATTCTGGAGTTCATTACATGCATGTATGTGTGTATATGCCTTCCCTGCCCCTTGTATGTGGTCACATGTGGGTTTCTTCCCCCACCCCCACTCCTATCCCCAAAATGCAGATGCTGGTCTGAGCTCACAGCTCACTGAAACTGTGATCTTCCCTGAAGATAATTTAACTCACTGAATGTATTTATTTAAAATTTTAAAATTAAATTAATTGGGGTGACCTTGGTTAATAAGATTATATAGGTTTCAAATGTATAATTCTATGATACAGCATCTGTATATTGCATTGTGTGCCCACCACCCAAAGTCAAATCATCTTTTGTCACCATATATTTGACCCCCTTTTCCCTTTACTACCTCCCCACCTGCCTTCCCTCTGGGAACCACCATACTGTTGTCTGTGTCTATGAATTTTTGTTTGTCATGTTAGTTCATTTGTTGCTTTCATTTTTAAACCCCACATGAGTGAAGTCATATAGTTCTTGACTTTTTCTGTCTGACTTATTTTGCTTAGCATTATATCCTCAAGATCCATCCACATTGTTGCAAATGATAGTATTTCATATTTTCTTATGGCTGGGCTAACTCACCAAACTTAAATAATACAAACTCTTGTGAATCTGAATCTGATTTTGGAATCCGAGAGAATTATTCAGAGCGAGGCTAAAGTTTCTTTATAATAGTATACATTCAATTTAGCCTGAATTTTTGATGCCCCGTTACTGCCATACTCCTACAGTTTCAGAGAGAGTATGGTGGTCTTTAGTTTTCTTTCATTCAGTAATCCCTACATTACTGAGCATTTGTTATAAGCCAGGTATTTTGCATACCACTTTCTCCAGCCCTCAAACAACCCTGGAAGGTAGCGATCATCACCCTTAGTGTACAGGTGAGAGAACTGAAGCTCAGAGATGTTAAGTCACCAGCTCAATGTCATACAGCTAATAAATAGCAGAGCCAAGATTTGATCAAGGATATTGAGGCTCCAAGTCTCCAGTGCAAACCACGCTGCACCGCACTGCCTCCTTGGCTGGTCAACAGAGCCCTTCTTCTCCCCCTAGCCCCATGTTCTCTCACATATTCCATTGTGGCCACTCTCCCACCCACCGACCTGTTCTCTCATTCATTTGAGTACATGTATGAGAGAGAGAGAGAGAGAGAGAGAGAGAGAGAGAGAGAGAGAGATTCAAGCACCCAGCCCCATTTCTCCCTTTCGCAGAGACACACTCATACCCATATACAGACATTTTGGCCTCTTACCTAGAATGTCTTCATAGACGTTCTCCTCTGATAAAGTGCATGTGAGCCCCAGCTTAGTCTGTGCATACCAGTCGACCCTGCTGTTCTCAGAGGAAGACTGCAGTAAATCTTCAAACTCATAGGACTTTCTAGGTTGTAGCAGATGGGAGGGGAAAAAAAGCAACCCCAAGATCTTGAATTAAATTAGGCTGGTTCAGAGAATATATACCGAAAAAAATGTTTTTCTTGCACAAATTTCTATTACTGAAATCAACTCTGGTGTTTGTAAAACGGGTGTGAAAATCTTCAAATATGAGATGTGGTTTTTTGTTAATCCTCACCTGAGGATATTTTTCCATTGATTTTTTTAAAAATATATTTTATTGATTTTTTACAGAGAGGAAGGGAGAGGGATAGAGAGTCAGAAACATCGATGAGAGAGAAACATCGACCAGCTGCCTCCTGCACACCCCCCACTGGGGATGTGCACGCAACCAAGGTACATGCCCTTGACCGGAATCGAACCTGGGACCTTTCAGTCCACAGGCTGACGCTCTATCCACTGAGCCAAACCGGTTAGGGCTGATTTTTTTTTTTTTTAAAGAGAATTGAAGGGAGGGGGAGAGTCAGAGAGAGAAAAACATCTACGCGAGAGAAACACATTGATTGGTTGCCTCCCACACGTGCCCCGGGCCCTGGTGGATGGAGCTCACAACTGAGGTATGTGCCCTTGACCAGAACCCAGGATCTTCAGTCTGAGGGCTGACGCATATCCACTGAGCCAAACCATCTAGGGCCGATGTGACTTTGACTTGAAAGAATGTTTATACTATTATGCCAGGTAAAGATAGCAAAGTACATATCATAAATACAGTCCCAACTTTGTAAGCAAACATACACAAAGAAAATAAAAAGAAGAAAGTAAAATACACAGCTGCTATCTCAGGACTGAGGAGGGCTCCTGGCTTCTCTTCACTGTTACTTTTCTCTGGACTTTTTAAATGGTCCACAATGTTTACAGAGCGCATGTATTAATAATTAGAAAGGAGCAGTGATGGCCAGTTCAGAGTGGATCAGGGGCCCGGGCACCTCCCCCCTCTCACCCTGGTAGGTAGTATCAGAATGAAACTCCCGAGGCCATGGACACTCCACCCTGCCCCTCAGAGATCTGTGGAAACCTGACTGGGTCTCTGTGGCCTGGCTCACTCTATGGCTTTCTACCACCCCTACCCCCACCCTACATCCACATGGCGGTCCTTGTTCTTCTCTCCCTCCCTATCCTTATCCACAGTAAGCCACATCTTACCCTGCCTCTGGTTAGAGCAGAACAGCCCTGCCCACTCAGGCTCTGGAGGCTCCCCTTCCACTTCCAAGCAGATTTGTCAGGAATTTCTGCTGAACACACTCGGGCCTTCCTAGAATGGGACGTAGGTCCCTCCAGCTGACCTTTGTCCTGGCCCTTCACTCCTCCCTGGATGGGGTCCAGAGGGTCACAACACTCCTATGGCTCTGAAAGCACAGCTCATCTCTCTTATTTTGTTCACATGGGTCTAGCACAGTCTTCTAAACATGCTGCATGGTAAGTTGTAGCTGACTACTTAGATATAGTGCTTTTGTTTCTTCACCCACACCTCCAATCTCTCTCTGGCCCTTTGGGGAAGGTGCCCCACTGGATGCAGAGCTGGGGTCCTTCATTCCTAAGCCTTTTAACCTTGGACAAACCACCTAAGGCTGAAACTCAGTGTCCTGATTTGTAAAATAGTCACTACCTCATAGGATTGTCCAAAGCATAGGAAGGAGAATGTTTGCCAAGTCCTTAGCACCTAATGAGCACTCAACAAGTGGTAGCTATTACTATTACTGTTGTGGTGATACTCACTATCTATGCAGTGAACGTTTTATATTGAACATTTATAGTGTGGAAGGCAATGCACTTAGGGTTTGATAAATAAGGAGGAACTGCCCTAGCTGGTTTGGCTCAGTGGATAGAGCGTCAACCTGTGGACTCAGGGGTCCCGGGTTCGATTCTGGTGAAGGGCATATGCCTGGGTTGCGGGCTCGATCCCCAGTAGGGTGGTTCACAGGAGGCAGCCAATTAATGATTCTCTTTCATCACTGATGTTTCTGTCTCTCTCTCCCTCTCCCTTCTTCTCTGAAAACAATAAAAATATATTAAAAAACATATAAGGAGGGACAAAGTCCCTGCCTCAAAGAGCTTACATTCTAGGGAGGAAGACAGACATTCAGCCAGCTCATGCACACACAAAATATAAAATGTGCTAAGTTCAATGATGGAAAAGAACAGGTTGCTACAAATGAGACTATCAATTTAGGTTGGGGATGCGTCGGGGAAGGCCTCGATGAGAAAGTCACTCCTTAAAGCTGAAACGTAGAGGATAAGAAGAGCTTAGTTGGGGAAAAGGGATCCAAGAAGAGGGAAGGGCATGTGTGAAGGTCCAGCGGCTACAGAGAATGTGTGCATTTGTGGAAAGACAGCCATTCAGCAAGGCAGGCCTGCAGGGAACAAGAGTGGAGAGTTCTGGGCAATGCGACGGCAGAACCAGGCAGAGGCCATCTGTCTGCTTCCCAAACTTTGAGGATTTCTTGCATTTCCAATCTTTCCTCTTTACTCCTTTCTTCCTCTCTTTTAAAAAACATGCTCAGGTTTCCTCTATCTTGAAAAATCTTTCACTTGAGGCAATGACCCTGGTAGTTCTGCTATTTCTCACCTTCCTTGCCAACATTTCTAACTGGGGAGAGGGAAGGAGGAGGGGCAGACTTCTGTCTACGTCAGCCATGGGCAAACTACGGCCCGCGGGCCGGATCGAAATGAATAAAACTAAAAAAAAAAAAGACCGTACCCTTTTATGTAATGATGTTTACTTTGAATTTATATTAGTTCACACAAACACTCCATCCATGCTTTTGTTCCGGCCCTCCGGTCCAGTTTAAGAACCCATTGTGGCCCTCGAGTCAAAAAGTTTGCCCACCCCTGGTCTACGTGTTAGCTTACCATAGTTCACTGGTTTTTCTTTCCTTTACCGTCTCAACCTGGCATCTCTATGTATCCCTTTTCTGAAACTGTCCCCTAAAAGTCACTAGTGATTTTCTGGTAAAATCTAACCAGTTTCTTGGTCCTTTAAAAAGAACACTTTTTATTGAGTTTTAGAGAGAGAGAAAGGGAGAGAGAGAGAGAGAGAGAGAGAGAGAGAGAGAGAGACCAATGTGAGAGTGATACATCAATTGATTGGCTGCCTCTTGCATCCTCCCCACCAGAGATGGAGCCTGCAACCCAGCTATGTGCCCTGACGGGGAACTGAACAGGCAAACATTCAGTGCACAGGATGACGCCCAACCTACTGAGCCACATGGGCCAGGGCTCTTGGTCTTTTTTTTACATGACACCACTTTTCTTTACAAGACATCTCTCAGATTCTACAGTGTAAGCAGCAGTAGTTAATGTGCCATCCACGGCCAGGGGCTGGTCTGTCAACTGTTGTGACCGGTCCTTGATGAGATAGGTACAGAAATTGAAAGTAAGCATTTAGAAACTTTTTAAGCAATTTGATAGAATACATTTTTAAAAAAGTGAATCTTGTACATAGTATTATCTTTTTTTTTTCCATTTCATTTCTCTGGTATTTTATTATATTTTACAACAGTATTGTTTGGCAAAGGACTGCAAACACAAGCACAGGGCCAGGGTGGTTTGAGAAGGCTGATACAATGCTGCCCCAGGCTACTTCCCCTCTCACACAACCCTTCCTGGGCCTCTCTTCCTCTTTCTGGGCAATGGGTGCTTCCCAAGGCTTTTCCTCTTTAGGCTCTAAACTTTCGTATCCCTGCATCTAAATTCATCACCCCTTATCTGCACCTCATCCCCACTCCTTCATGAACTTGAACTTGTCACTTAGGGCAGGATAACCAAGAAGGGCCAAGCCAGAAACGTCCATGCTGGGTGTCTATGGTCTTAAGTGAGGCCAGGAAGCTAAAATTGCTATCCATGCACTGGGGTCCTGACTTGTTAACAGAAGTTCATGAGCCCCATCTCCCTCCCCTTGAGGTGTCTAGCCTGGAGAGGAGGACTGAGTTCCAGAGCTCTAGCAGATGGGGTCTGGTGGTGGTGGTGAAGGGGGAAGCAGGGCTGTGCTGTTTTCTCTAGGATGGGAATGGGCAGTGCTGTGCACGCACCCTGAACAATCCCTAGACTGGGATGCCAGGAGCCCAGACTGGCATTCACAGGGATCTGATTAGAGATGGAGTGGTGGTGGTCTGTGGCCAGAGCAGGGCGAAGCCACAACTCCTGGGTTCTCTGGTGAACTCATCAGATTATATTAGCCAGAGTCCTCAGTATGCCCACTACCTAAATCTGCTAGAAAAGAGGCAAACTGTTCAATGAGACCACAGACTCATCCATTCAACACCACCTATCAAGTACCAACTAAGCACTTTACTTGGATTAGCACATTCAGACTTCGCCACAACCGTGTAAAGAATTACTATTATTGTACACATTTCATATATGAGAACACAGGGGCATAGAGAGGTAAGATAAATTTCTCAATGTCACACAGGGAGAAAGTGGTGCACTGGGGAGTCTGGTTGGAGGCTCATGCTCTGAACAACACGGGCACTGAGCAGAGTGTGTAAATTCAAGGCAACGCATGAGAAAAGCTGCAGTTGCAGTCCACAGATTAAAACAGGTTGTTTCCAGAGTATGAAGTTATGAACTTGAACTAATTTTCCATATGAAATCGCATTACATGTTATTATGAATTACCTAGCAAGCTCTCTATTTCCCTCATAATGTAACTAAATTATACTATGAAGAGAAGCTAGAACCCTCATAGAAAAAAGAGGGGACAGTCAGGGGTCGCTTCCTTGGGAGCTTCTACCCTAATGTCAGGAAGCCCCACTCCTGACAGCTGAGGGACAGAGTGACAGCCTTTAAGGGAAAGCCCTGACTGTCTGGAAGTTGAGCATAACCCTGAATAAGCTTGGTCTTTGATCTGATTTCAGAAGGGACTGCAGCTGTGCTGTTGAGAGAGCTCTATAACTGTTTTTACGTTTTAAAAATCTCATTTGAGTTACCTATGAAGCAATATTTGTACAGATCAAATTTTAAAATGAAAAATTATAAAGTACCTAT